ACACACACACACACACACACACACACACACACACACACACACACACACACGTTGCAAATCCGAGGCTAAGAACTCCACAGGTTAGTAGCCTGATTCACGTATCCCGCTTTAATTAACGGAGTTTAGAGGGCTCTGTGCCCTAAAAAAAGATGGCTCCTGCGCTGACCTCTGTCTGAGTGACCTCACAAAAAATGGCACTTTGGTCTCTTTGCCTAGTGCTCCTCACTCAATTCAGGGTACTTTGCCCTTAGTAAAAATGGCGTCTAACTACGTGTTCCTGCCCGGTTTCTGTCCCCCGCTGATTGGCTTCACCGTAAACGCCCAGATAACCCCGCCCCGTTTACGTAGGAAGAAGCGCCGGGAAAGATGGCGGCGACTGTGGTTTGAATTCCAGTGGCGCCGCCAGAATCTGAACAAGAGCTGGATCGGAGGGGGCGGGGACCCGGGGTGTCAGGAAGGTCGCGCGAAAAGGCGGGGGAGGAATCAGTGGCACCGGTACCGCAGACACCAACGCCATCGTCACCTGTGCCCACGATGAACTCAGCATTGGACGAGGACGTCACCCTTCCCGAAGGGACTTTGAGCGGCAGCAGGTGCGGTCGGGGTGCTGGGGGTTCGCGGTCACCTGGTCGGGGTTCCCGCTCTGATCGGGCCTTGGGGTTTACTGTTGGGATGTGTGAAGGGCTCCAGGCAGGAGCAGTGTGTAAAGTGGCTTGTTTGGAGGTAACTCTATGAAGATGTCTCCATGAAAGACACACCTACTGGTACTATAGGTGTGTGTCCTGACTTCCATTCCTCCAGCCTCTAATATTTATAGTCATTCTTTGAGGAGGGGCCTGCCAGGGGTTTTCTGAAAAAGCAGGAGGAAGGGGGTCTTTAATGGGGCCGATAGGGGATATGGCAGCCTCGTAAGGACCTTGAAGACAATTGATGGTCATTTTGGTGTGGTGGTTTGGTTTGATTGTGGGGAAAAGTCGATACTCTTTATTTTGTGCATAAGGCCGTATCGTGGCCACCCAAGACTGAGGCAGAGAGGTGTAGTGACTAAGAGCACAGTGCTTTTTTTACTATAGCGGAGTGACCATCCCATGTGTAACATGGAATAACCACCTGACAGGATTGCTTTGCGGATGAACAGAAATAATGATTGCTCTGCATTGTGCTTGGCACGTTTAGTGCTTGGCACAAAGTTGGTGCTTGAAAATGATCGTTTGTTGTTGTTTGCTCTCTAATTGGAATCGACTCATAGCTGATTAGCTTGTTTTCAGAAACATTAAATTGCATAGGAGGTTGTTGGCCATCCATCTCCTGCAGAGCAGCTGGTGGATTCGAACCATGTGCTCTAGGGATTGCAGCACAGCTTCTTATGACTAGGTCCCGAGTTTCCTAAAAATGATTGTGTGATGCTACAGTTATTATTAATTGTTATTATAATTATTATTCATAACTTGAGTAATAATGGCTGAAGGTGGCTTCCCAGTGATCCTGTGCCAGGATGCATCTGGAAATCATATTGCTGATGAGGTTGAGGGTCTCTCTGGCAGGAAGGTCTGACAGTCATGCATTGCAACAGGACTGGCCCCCATTGCTTGTCTCAGGCCATCAGACTCCCTTTGTGTTGTCTTCACTTGGAGAATAACCCACCTTGATCAAGTTGATTGTGACATTTGGCTTTTTTTGGTTTTGAGTCTGTTTTGAGATTTAAGTAGGGCAGACTCTTCATCTTTCTCTCATAGAACATCTGGTGGATTAGAACTGCCGACTGTTGAGTTAGCTGCCCAACACATATTGTGCCCCCAAGACTCTGGTTGGAGATTGGGCAGAAGGAAAGTCAGTGATGTCTTACAGTATTTGTTTACTTCTCCCCCCACTTACAGCCACTCTGTAGGACAGTGTAGGACAATGCCTCATAGACTTTCCATGGCTGTAATATTTATCAAAGCTGACTGCTGCATTTTTCTCTTGTGAAGTGGTTGGTGAGTTCAGACTGCTGACCTTTTAATAGCCAAGTGTAACACCAGGACAGGAGACTGCTTTTAATTAGGAGACTCTAACTGATGGGTAAGAGTATAATTTATTGTGAAATCCTAAGATTCTTTTAGGACGAAAGAACACATTTTAACATTTATGCCAAGACTGCGGGTGTAAGCAAATCCTATCTTGGGCAAACCTGACATGCAATTTTTCTGTTGAAAGACTGGAGTTTTTCAGGCACAGATTACATGAACCTTTGTGGCTCCAGTCTAGTTAAAAACTTTTCATTGTTTTTTATTCTCTATTGTACTATTACAACTTCGCCATAAGAATAAGGCATATTGGCTGTTACCTGGATTGCTGAGACTTCCTTCATACCTCTTATTGTTGTTGTTAGTTGCCATCAAGTCTAGTACAACTCATATTGATCCTGTGAACAACAGGTTTGAACTCTGCCTTGTCCTTTGACATCCTTGTTATTTCTGACATTCTTGAGCCTATTGCTGCAGTCATTGTGTTAGTCCATCTTAAGGAACTTCCTCTATTTTTCCTGCCCTTTGCCTTTTCAAGCAATTCCCTCTTCAAGAATAGCCTCTCCTAACAACATGTCTAAAGTTATACCTCTAATAGTCCTTTATTCGGCATCTTGAAAGTCTGCTGTTAGGGACCTCTCCAAAGTACTGAAGAGCAGTGGTGTCACTCTGGAGACTAAGGTGCATCTGATACAGGCTATGGTCTTTGCAGTCACTTGTTATGCATCAGAGAGTTGGACAATGACTAGGAAGGATAGAAGGAGAATTGATGCCTTTGAGCTGTTGTGCTGGAGGAGAGTATTGAATGTACCATGGACTTCCAAGAAAACAAACAGATTCATCCTTGAGAGGGTTAAACCAGGCTGCTCCTTGGAGGCAAAGATTCTGGGGCTTCGTCTGACATACTTTGGATAGACTGGTCCTTGGAGAGGGACATCATGCTTGGGAGGGTGGAGGGACAGCGCAGCAGGAGAAGACCCTCTATGAGGTGGATTCATTCAGTGACTGGGGTAATCGGGATGGGTGTGCCAGTGCAATTGGCACAGGATAGAGCAGGGTTTAGGGCTGTTGTACATAGGGTCACTATGAGTCACAAGCGACTCGATGGCACATAACAACAACAACAAATCTGATTTTGAGGTTTGCTACTTTATACTTGTTAATGTTTCTCATTGTCCTTGAGATAAAGTCCTTTCTCAGACAACTCTTCTCTAGTGACATCGCTGCTGGTTAAATTCTTGGATGTTGGGACACAGATGAGTTTGAGTTTTCATGCCCATTTTGCCTCTTAACAGCGAGCTGAACTTGTCAAGGCATTCATACTTTGTGCTTTGTGCCCCTCGGTTTTTATCACCTATAAAATGAGTTGATATAAAGCCAGAGTAGGTTTAAGGATTAAAATTAATCTAAAGGATCTAGCCCAGCGTGTGACCCACAGTAGCTACTCATCAAATCAGCAAATACCTTCTCTTCCTTCGCTCTTCACCTTGCAAGACCCAGGAAGCACTCTTGTTAACTGATTTTTCACTTCAATCCTTGAGTAAGCTTCTAAGGTTTTCAAAATTTGACTCTGCCTACATCTCTTGCCTCACCTGCCCTTACTACCTTTTCTTCTCCCCATCCTGATAAACTTGATGAGGAATTATTTTGCCTGTTCCTTTCTTGCTGTCTGGCTTACCCTTCCTTTTCCTTTTCCCCTTTACCTTATCAAGACTTATTATTTTTCCGAGTCTGAATTTAGATTTTAATATCAGGAAGACTTCACTGACATTTTCACATCCCTCCCTGGGCATTCTATTCTTTTAACAACCTTCATTGGTCAGTTTCTCTATCCCAGACTTTATTTACCTCATGACATTTTATGCTGTCTGATAGAAATATATTTGAGCTATTTGCCTGACATACTTTGAACATGTTGCAAGGAAGGACCGGTCCTTGGAGAGGGATGTCATGCTTGGGAGGGTGGAGACAGAGCACAAGAGAGAAGACCCTTGATGAGATGGATTGATCAGTGACTGGGGTAATGGGGGTGAGTGTGTCAGAGACTATAAAATTGGCACAGGCTAGAGCAGAGTTTAGGGCTGTTGTACATAGTGTCGCTATGAGTCACAGGTGACTCAACAGCACATAACAACAACAAACAACATATATTAAAAAAAAAAAATTATGTTGTTGTTGTTGTTATGTGCCGTCGAGTCGTTTGCGACTGTAAGGCCCCCGGAATAGATGGTATACCAATTGACATATTTCAGCTAACAGATGCTGCCGTGGATGTGCTCACCAAGTTGTGCCAAGAAATCTGGAGAACAACCACTTGGCAACTGAGTGTGGAAACTATAGATTATAAAAAAAAAAAATTATAAGTTACCTTAAAAAAGAAATAACTGACATTAATTTTAATCTACTTTTAAAATCTACTATACCCATATATGTTATCATTTTTAACTTGAAATCAATAGAAAAATTTAATAATCTAGGTTTATTTTGTCATATTGTTGTTGTTGTGTACTGTAGAGTCTGAACTGATCCATAGCTGACAGACTCTCCAGCAGATTTTCAGAAGCACTTAAGAAAACACAGGAGAAAATTGCCTATCCTTCTCCCACAGAGCGGATGGTGGCCTTGAACTGCGTGGCCTTCGGGATTGCAGCGCAGCTTCTTTGACACTAGACCACCAGAGCCCCCTTTTGTCTTATTAAGTCTTTGAAATCCTGTAATGTATTCTCTATTTGTGGTGCTTCTCAGTTTGGCCTTACTACTTTTCAAGTACTCGGTGGCTACCTATGTTTGGTCGCTCTTACATGATTATTAACTGTTAAATGGTCTGTCTCCTATATTACTATACTATGACCTATTTGAGAGCAGTGTGCGTAGTTCTATCTAAAACTGATCACTTGTGGGTGTCTGAAATATCTGTGACCCTGTTAAATGTAGACCCAGGTCCCAGAGGAGGAAGGGGGCTGGTGGAGGAACTCACCCAGACTAAAGCCTTTTATTGAGTCCTGTCTGGTGTTGTGGAAGGAGCTTGATTAGGTCGGGATCCTGGTTCTGTCAGTCCTTAGATGTGATGATGTGATGCTCTGAGTAACCCATCTGTCCTTTTCTGGAGTGTTTTCTAATCTGTGATAATATTTATCTTACTGTTTGAACCTGAGTATTAAGTAAAATTAATTGCATATATTCAGTATCGAACACCTACTGAGGTGTGCATTAAATATTGGCCATTTTTGTTGTGCTGTTACCATATCACACTGTTTCCTAACCAGAATCTTCTGTGCCCACCACCCTGGGAACAGTCCTCTATTTTCATGGTTAGTGTGCCTCTGCCTGGCCCTGAGGCCCCCGAGGCCTAGGCCCATGTTCTCCCGTTCATTCCTCTGACCTCACCAGAGCAGCATAAGGGCTCATTGAGTCTTGCTGTTTGATTAGTGGCAGACCCAATAAGAATGTTTTCTGTTAGCACAGTTTGTACTTTCTCAGCAGAGTGTGCCTCTGTGGACTTTTATAGGAGTAGATAGAAAAAGAAGAGGGAATGTCTGGTGAACAGTTGATGGTGGTAGGAGCACTGACCTTGGATTGAGTGTTCCTAAACTGTGAGGTTTGAAGAGAGGTCTTCCTCTCAGCAGTGCAGGCTCAGAGAGGGGAGTGTCCAGGCTGTTATGACTCTACATCTGTCACCTAGGACTGTCTATTGCACACAGAAGAGGTTCAGCAGATATTTCAACTGTTGGATGAGTCAGTCTAGTTCGTTTTCTAATGCTTGAAAAGATAAATACCACGTAACACAGAATCTTGTTTAATAATGAAATACTCCTTGCAGTCATGATTAGAAAGTGCACACTCAGAACATTAATGCGTACAATCTTTCTGGAACACAATTAGACTGCATTGCAGTCCTGAAGGCACACGGTTCGTATCCACAGGAGAAAGATGGGCAGTTCCCTCCCATGTCATTTATTGCCTCTGAAAACCCACTGAAGGATCAGCTGTAGGTCGATTCTGACTCAGTGGCACATCACAACAACAGCAACAACATTAACGTTAACAAATGTGCCAGTGCTTTTTTGTTTTAAATTTTTATTGAGCCATGATTTATATAACATAAAGTTTACATAAAGTACAGCGTTCATTTGTTTTCTAATACATTTCCTGAGTGGTGTGCAACCATTCTCATAGCCTAATTTTAGAACATTTTTATCCTTCCATAAAGGAACTCTTACCTGTGAGCATTTATTACCTGCTCCCTCAGCTGTGTATTCCCTCTTCCTCCCCCACCTCTCGCATCTTCCAATTTTAGGGAACCAATAATGTACACGCTGCTTCTTTAGATTTCTCTATTCTTTAGTAGAGACATTTTATATAACTATCTTTCTGTACGTGATATTGTACAATCTGTAATCTTTCTATGAGGTTCATCTATGTTATATCATGTACTTAATTCCTTTTTGCTGCCTAGTAATATTCTGTTGTATTGACAGTATGTTGCGATGAATTTATATGACCCTTTTAGCATCACCTTGTGTTTGGCCATATGATTTCCACAAAATGATTGGATGGAACTATGTGTGGTGCAATGAGATGAAATAATACAGTACTTGCAGCCATAGTGCTCCATTGTGATACCGTGCAAATCTTAGCCTCTTTTGTCTGTGTTTATAATCCCATTCTGGAATCAGTTATCTTTTGTGATTTTGAAACAGGATTGATGTGGGCTATATCTTGAATCCTCACTTTATTAGAGGGTATGTCCCATGTTTTCACCCTCAGTGTTTCCATCTATATAATATTTAATAATTTTTTTGCTTATATTGCTTTGAATTTTGATTTTATTACACGAGGCCCTAGTTTTAGTTCTACGGCTAGTGGTGAATGAATATGGCAGGAGGAGGTAGTTTCTTGGGGCCACAAGTTGTAGTTAGGCCTAGAGGATGCTGATGACAGAAATTGATAACATTTTGGAAGTGGTAGATGAAGCCCAAGTGGAAATTTGGCAGGAACTATGTAGATATTTCTGCATTATAATGGTGGTTTCTTCTAAGAGTTGGGATGTTAAATAACTATTTTTCAAAAGTCAGTATTTGCCTTTTGGAAATTTATCTAAGACCACATTTTTTTTTACTTTGTTTTCCAGGTAGTCAAACAGTGTTGATCTTGACTTGAATTATTGATGGGATGTTTCATTCAGGGGGAATAATTTAATAGTTGTGATGGAAAGAAACTCAGACTGAGAAATGTCCAGACCAGACTAAGGCTAAGCTTTACCAATAGCTTGAAGTGTGGACTTTGGGCATCTGGGCCAACATCTACAAAAAGATGGTAGTTGAACTTGATCTTAATTTTTAAATGTCAATTATTCATAAAATGAATTTTGCCAAATATATGTAAAAAATGGAGACTGACATAATATTAAAAAGGAAAGCCTTTTAAATATACCTACAGGAAGTGATTTTTAATATGCTAGTATTCTTTGTTATGTATTTATAGCCCACCCAGTTTGAAGAAAAATTGGAGGTGACTCTAGTGCCCCACAACTCTGTGGCCCCCCCCACCCCGTTTTTGGTTGTATTCTATTCAAGCTTTCAGCTATCTTTATAGCAGACACATTTTATATAACTGTTAGACATAGCTACTCATTATGTGACTCCTGTGGTTGGAATTTGAGGATATTCCTACTTTGTTGCTGCTCTGCTGTAATCTTTTCAATTCCCAAATTCAGTGATCAGGCAGGAATAGAATGAATTAATATTTAGAACTATGGAAAGAACAGTTCGTCAAGGTGGTAAGCTGGGCTTTCATCAACTCCTAGTTTATAGCTTGGGGCAATGGAAGAATTATTTGGGTTAGACATAAAAAGCCTGGATTCTGGATTTGGCCCTGTACTTAACTGTTGTGTGATCTGGGCTAATCTCCTAAAATTGTATGAGCCATACCTCCTTTCATTGGAAATTACGTAGGCCCTCAGGAAATTGGAAAGTCCTAATGACTTTAAGTCTTTTATAAATGATAAAACAAGATATCCTTCAAAAATAACAATATTTTTGCTTCCATTTATGGAATATCAGTACCATGCTAATTCCTTTTTGGGCACTTTTGTATTTGTTTCATTTCTGATTGGTCTAGGAAATAGCTGTTCTTTTACAGATGAAGAAAGGGAGGCTTAGAAGCAGCTTGTTTGTGCAGAGCTTAAAATAGAATCCAAGGTAGTGTCTCTTGTGTCAAACAAAACCTTCAATTATGGTTTAGTTTTCTGTTAATGTCTCCATTGTCTCACTGAACCTATTTATATAATTCAGCCAACACAATTCTTGGATCAGTGAATCCTTTGCTTTTCTTAAAGCATCTGATTTGAGTCCCTGAAGCTTAACTACTTGATTCCCAGAAACTTGATGTTTCTCTGGTGGCCTAGTGTCAAGAAGTAGCACTGCAATCCCGAAGGCATGCAGTTCAAGGCCACCAGCTGCTCTGCAGAAAAAGGATGGGCAATCTCCTCCCGTGTGATTAACTGTCTCTGAAAACCCACTGGAGGGTCAGCTATGTGTCTGTTCTGACCTGACGCTACACAACAACAACAGGTGTAATAATAAAAACAACAACAACAACAGGTGTAATAATAAAAACAGTAGATTCTATCAACTGCATGCTTACTATGTACCCAGTTTTTATATACATTAACCTGTTTAATCATTATAGTTTGTTAATTTTCATTGAGTAGGTTTAGACTCAAGGTGACCCAGTGTGTGCAGGTGTGCTCCATAGACTTTTGGGAACTCTGGTGACCTAGTGGGTAAGGAGTGGCGCTGCCAATCCAAAGGCATTTGGTTCGAATCCACCAGCTACTTCACTGGAGACACACTGTCTCTGCATATGTGAGTCACAGCCTATGAAAGCCTTCTGGGGGGGTCAACTGTGATGGGAATCGGTACTCATTTGATGGCAATGGCTTGAATTACGTTTCATTGGATTTTAAAGACCTTAAGTTTTCCGAATTAGATTACCAGGCATATCTTTCAAAGAACCTTTGGGGGAGTTTGAAACACCTACCTTTCATCTTAATATTGAGCACTTAATCTATTTGTGCCACCCAGGAACTCCAGTCTTCATAGGCAGAGGATGGTATTCCCATGTAACAGATTAAGAAAGTGAGACTCAGACAATTAACTTTACTGAGATTTTTTTCTTTCCTGTCTATTTTCTGAGACACAGATCACTTATACTTGGCACAATGCCTCTATCCCTGGCATATTTGGTGCATGAGTGAATAAATGATCCTGCTGAAGGATGCTCCAGTACTGAGTGTGGGAGCTGGAACTCTGTTGCAAAGCTAGAACCAAACCCCAAAGCCTGAGTTCTTAAATGCTTCTCAAATTAGTTCAGGTGTGTGTCCTTCATTGACTGTGGCCTGATGATTGCCATATATAGTTCAGGTCATTTTAACAATGTCTGTTGTTCAAATATTAGCTCATTTCATTTCCTGTTGCCCGTCTTTTTTCCTAGTGTCCTCATTCCCACTTTACCAGATGAGCTGGATGACGTCAACCCCAGTGCTGGTGTGAGAACTGATGGTAAGTATGTACAGCTGGGCATTCCCTTGGACAGGAACAAAAACCATGGATACTAGACTATGATCACTTTTTAACTTGGGGTTAGCCTTTTATATCTAGGCAAGAGCTCAGACTAGCATATAGTAGGTGCTGGGTATTTTCTGAGTATACTGATTTGCTCCCTCTTTCCCTTCATAAAAACTGTATTAGAGGGACTGGCGTTTTTTAGGCAGCACATTTTGGCTTTAATATCTTGCTGCCGAGTGTGTAGGGGTTCAGCAAGTGCTTGCTGAACTGAAGGACTGTATAAAGGCTAGACATTGAATTTTTGAGTAGGTCAAGTTTTGTTGGTCTTTACTGCTGAGTGACTGGAGACTCAGGAGATCTGCCGACTGGACTTGAGGGCACCAAGGCCTTCCTGGCTGGCTGCCACATTCCGTCTACTGGCTGATTCCCAGCATTCTAACATGGGCCTGCTCTTAGGAGACAAGTAGCTTATTAGACCACAGAAGACAGCACTGAGTAACTAAGCACAGTGTGTTGCGTTTAAGCTGGGTTGTGAAATACATGACTCTCTGCTTGGCAGTTTGGGTTTTGCTATGCATTCATCATAATTTTTGTTCTTAAAAAAAAAAAGATGGATCTTGTCCTAAATGCCTCTGTGTTCCTATGTGCTTTTGAGTTGAAACTGACTCACAGCTGATCCTTCAGTTGGTTTTCAGAGCTATCACTCATATGGGAAGAGACTGTCCATCTTTCTCCCTTGGATTAGAACCACTTTTCTTTGAGTTAGCAGCACAATTCCTTACTCACTAGGCCACCAGAGCTCCCTCTAATGTCTCTTTTGAGCAGTACTGTCAGTTTATTGTTATGTGCCATCGAATTGACTGCAACTCATAGTGACTGTATGTACAACAGCCCTAAACGATGCTCTATCCTTTGCCAGTCTTATTGTCTCTGACACACCTACCTCCATTACCCCAATCACTGAATCAGTCCGTCTCACTGAGGGTCTTCCTCTCTTGTGCTGTCCCGTCCCTCTCCAAGGACTGATCCCTCCTTGTAACATGTCTAAAGTATGTCAGATGAAGCTTCAGACTTCTTGCCTCCAAGGAGCAGCCTGATTTCACCTCTCTAGGACGAACTTGTTTGTCCTCCTAGCAGTCCGTGGCATATTCAGTACTCTTCTCCAGCACCACAGCTCAAAGGCATCAATTTACCTTCTGTCATCCCTAGTTGTTGTCCAACTTTCTGATGCATAGCAAATAATTTCAAAGACTGGATCAGGTGCACCTTATACTGACATCGTTGCTTTTCAGTACTGTCGAGAGGTCCCTGACTGCAGACTATCCCAGTACAATTTGTCTTCTGATTTCCTGGCTGCTAATACCAAGTGGATTGTGAAGCCAAGCAAACTGAAGCTGTTAACAATCTCAGTCTTTTCACCATCTGTCCTGATGCTGTCAGTCGGCCAAGAATCTTTGTTTTCTTGATGTTGAGCTTCTGTCCATATTGAAGGCTGCGGTCCTTGACCTTCTTCAGCAAGTGCTTCAGGTTCTCCTCAGTTTCAGCAAGCAAGATTGTGTCATCTGCATAATGCAGGTTGTTGATGAGTTTTCCTCCAATCCTGATGCCACATTCCTCCTCATATAGCCCAGCCTCCCAGATAATCTGTTCTGCATGTAGATTGAAAAGGTATGATGAGCCTTGGTAGTATATCAAGAATATCATTCATGAAGAATGCAAAAGCTCTTTACAAAGAAGAAGAAAAGACCAGAATGGATGTCAGAGGAGACTCTGAATATTGCACTAGAGCACTGAGAAGCCAAAGCAAAGAGAAGAAATCAAGATGTTAAGGAGCTGAATAGAACATTTCAAAGGTTAGCACAGGAAGACAAAGCAAAATATTAAAATGAAATGTTCAAAGAACTGAAGTCCAAAAATCAGAAGGGCTGTACTTACTTGGCATTTCTTAAGCTGTAGGAACTAAAGAACAAATTCAAGCTGCGAGTTGCAATACTTAAGGATGCTATGGGTAAAATATTGAATGATCCAGGAAGTATTAAAAGAAGATGGAAGGAGTATACAGAGTCACTGTACCAAAAAGAATTGGCTGACATGGAAGAATTTCAAGAAACAACATATGATCAAGAGGCATTGAGGATGAAGGAGGAAGTTCAGGCTGCTCTGAAGGACTTGGCAAAAAATAAAACCCCAGGAATTGATGGAATACCAATTGACATACTTCAACAAACAGATGCTGCACTGGATGTGCTCACCAGGTTGTGCCAAGAAATCTGGAGGACAACTTCCTGGCCAACTGATTTGAAGAGATCCATATTTACTCCAAAAAAATTTTGTTTCAAAAAAAAGTGACCTGACAGTGTGGAAATTACTGTACATATATCACTCATTTCACACACAAGCAAAAGCATGCTAAAAATTATCCAGAAACGACTAGAACAGTGCATTGACAGTGAACTACCAAAAATATGAGCTGAATTTAGAAGATGCTGTGGTACTAGAGACATTCTCACCATGCCAGATGGATCTTGGCAGAAAGCAGAGTACCAGAAGGATATATATCTGTGTTTCATTAACTATGCAGAGGCATTTGACTGTGTGGATCACAACAAATTATGGTTAACCTTGAGGAGAATGGGAATCCCAGAACACTTGATCGTGCTTATGTGAAACCTATACTTGGACCAGGAAGCAGACCTCAGAATAAAGCAAGGAAATACGGCATGGTTCAAAATCAGGAGGTGGGTGCATCATGGATGTATCCTGTCTCCATACCTTTTCAATCCACATGCTCTCACTCATACCCAGTGCAGTTTTTGAATTTGTCTCTTAACGGACTTTGTATGTTGGGGCTAGTTTCAGTAATTTGCAAATATTTGAAATATAATGGTTCAAGCTTTCTTTGAATGTACATCAGTAAATCACAATAGACAGAAAATACAGAATGATACACTGTAGAAGTTGTGTTGTGGATTTCCCTCCCTTCTTCTCTGGCCTTTATTTCTTTGTAGGAATGTTGGACAATTTACACGCCACGAGATTTTTATAATATCTTTCATACTATTTTGTAGTGCTCCCAAATGTGTCAGAAGAAAGATTATCTCCCACCAGAGCACGGAACATGAAGGACTTTGAAAATGTAAGTAGAAACACCTATTAACCCTGTTAAATTACCTCTGCCATTCTGTCTAAGCAGATGTGGGAGGGATCTGATTTTCTCAAGAACAGTCTAACTTGAATAGGCCTGGGTGAAGTGAATGCAGTGCCTAGTAGGCATTTATTTTAGTGAGACAGTTACTTGCCAACCAGTCAGCCTTCTACAAGGACCAATCATAGATTCTGACAGGATCCATAATTTCTAATCTTTGAGAAATTTGGCACATTTCGGATATGAGCTTGTTGGCATATTTCCAACAGCAGAGAAAAGATAAAATTTGTCAAGGGTCTGCAGTGTTTTAAGGCACATTATTGAGGTACATGGTCCCATGTAATTCTTGCAGCAATTCTTTGGAATATTTTGTTCTCCTGTTTTTCAGATAAGGGCTCTTCAGTCTAAGAAAGACTGGCTTAATGTCATGTAATTTGGTGGAGGTAGGAGCACTGATAGCTTAATGCGAAGGAGATGTGCTGCCAACCCAAAGGCACACGGTTCAGATCCACCAGCTGCTCTGCCAGAGAAAGATGGGCACTTGCCTTCTATGCAATTAAGTAATTCTGAAAACATGCTAGAGGGTCAGGTATGAGTTGGTTTCAACTCAATAGGACATAACAACAACAACAACAGTATAGCACAAGATAGGGCGGAGTTCAGTTCTGCTGTTCATAGAGTCGTTGATGAGTCATGGTTGGCTCAACAGCACCTAACAACAGCCTGTCTTTCATACATAAGTGTCAGAATTGAAATTTGAATCAAAGTGTTTAATGATTCTGAAGCCTTTTTTCTTTCATGCTCCCTCCTTGCATTGTGTAGGCTTGGCCTTTGTTGCCGTGGAGATGTGAGCATCCTCCCCCATGCTGCGTAGCCGTTTTCGGAGAATGGATTATTCAGTGATAGATTAGGCTTCATCGCCTCATGCCTTCCAGCATTGTATCTTTCATTTGTTTAGTGGTGGGGGTTTGTTGTCAAGTAACAGTAAAATAAGGTTATTTTCCCAATTCCAATTCTCTTTAACAAGTTACCTTTTCAGTGTTCTCATTTATCATGGGAAGAATTAGACCCTTCTTCATTTATAACCAAATGAAATCCATACTATGCAAGACACGGGAGATATTTATCAGGGAGAAGATGGAGGACATAGAGAGAAGGACGTTGCACAATTATGTTTCTCTTTCCCCAGTTGTCTTTACAGAACAGAGCGGGATTGTCTCTGGATTTAATTTAGAATACTCATTACTGCTAATAGTTATCTGCAAACCACCAGTGACCAATTGAAGAAATGACTTGTCAGATCTCTAATGGAAACAAGTAATTTCTGAGGTTTGAGTTGTTATAATTTCAGCGGTACAACTCAATCTATGCTTTGGGGTCTGGGGCCTCAAACGAATGAGATTTGATTATTCCACATCGTGTATAATTAAAATGTGCTCTACTATTAAATGGTTGTTCCTGTTTTATCATAAGAGTAATAATAGCTACTGCTTATTGAACTCTTGCTCTGAGCTGGGCTCAATAATTGCTCGTTTGTTTTTTTTTTATATACTTTTTTAAATGTTAAAGCGGCTCTGCAAGATACAGTTGTTACTTAATTTTTGAAAGACACAGAGTTGAATTTTATTTCTAGATGGAAAAATGGAACAGAATCTTAGAATTTTGATTTCTCATTTTATTGTCTGCTTTTTGAGCTGGAAGGAACTTCAGACTGGAATCCAACCCTGTATATGGGAAGGGTTGCTACCTGGTAGCATAGTGCATGCATAATGTGTCAGACTGGTGACTGAATGTTTGGTGCTTTGAATCCACCAGCTGCTCCATTGGAAGAAAGGAGAGTAGTCTCCTCCCATAAAAATTTACAGCTTCAAAAATTTGACAGAAGGTTGGTTTAAGCTGGAGTCAAGCTGGACTCACTGGCTGTAGGTGTGGCTTTAGTTGGGCTTTGTTCAGAGAAGCTGAGGCACAGAGATGTCAAAAGAGGAGATCTACTCTTAGAGGTCATGGGGGCAGCGTAAGAACCACAGCTGGAGCGGGGCTGCTGTTCATTGAGCATGCTTAGTGGAGAGGACTTTAAAAGTGAGGGTGACAGTAGTTCCTCCTTCAGAGAGCTACAGTGAGGATGGAATGAGTAGTAACGTGGGAAGCACGTGTGCCTAAAACAGTACATTCTGTGTGCTAGCTTTTTCTTCTTCTCTGTGTTGTTATATTTATCATTATTCTTTCTTCTCCTCTGTCATGTGATTCATATTTCCTCTGCATGATGACCTAAATACTGTTTTTCTTGAACATGAGGGAATGCCTTCCATGCCAATATCTTTTAGGATTTATGTATTTTTCTTTATGACTGTGGTCCTTTGGCTGCTATTAGGTTTTTATGGCATTAATATTTTTTATTGTAGCATTTTCAAGAGCAAATTCTGCAGTTGAAATTGAAATGGGCACTGTTCTCAATGTCTCCCTTTCAGGTCTTTATAAGTCACTGAAATTTTTCATTTTGCCTGAGCCATTAAATGCATGATTTCTGGGTGGATGTAGTTTGAGCTTCAAATAGGAAGCTTTTGGAAATGCTTTTGGCATCTAATGCTAATTTTAGAGTCAGCGTGTTTATCAAAGAGGGTATCAAAATGCTTATGATTTAAAGGGAAGTATGATTCCTCTTACTCCAGACTCAGATGACTGATTTTTGTACATTTGCATCTTGCATTATATTGCCTTTGAGTTGGAACTGACTCAGATCTGCCTCTCCATTGGGTTTCTGAGGCCACACATTGCAGTGGAGGGAGGCCGGTAGATTTCAGCCATCTGAGAAATGTGGCCTTAGAGTTGCAGGGTACCTCCCCACAGATTGTTCACCAGAGCTCCCTGTCTATACATTGTTGTTATGTATCTTTGAGTTGAACCAATCCATAGCTAGCCCTCCGGCATGACTATAGTCAGTTAATTGCACAGCAGGAGATTGCCCATCTTTCTCCTACAAAGCAGCTGGTGTATTTGAACCACATACCTTTGGGTTGCCAATGCAACTCTTTTCCACTAGGCCACTTGAACTCCTTTACCTATACATTACAAATTGTTTTTAGTCCTCTGGCTTTGTTTAGAGAGTGTATTCATTTCTCAGGCAGTTGTTGTGAGGTGACATTGAAACAATGAATCCTTGCCTGGTCCAGTGACATCTTCACAGTCTCCACCGTGCTTAGTTCATTGTTCCAGGCACTTTGTCAGTCCATTTCCTTGAGAATCTTCTTCTCCTTCGCGAACATTCTGCTTTTCTAAGCATAAGGTCCTTTACTAAAGGACTGGCTTTTCTCGATAACATGTCCAAAATATTTGAGATGAAGTCTCACCAGTCTTGCCTTTAAGGAGGAACACTCTCTGGCTGCACTTCGACAAAGACAAGCTTCCTGTTCTTTCCACAGTCCATAGTCTGTTCAGTGCGCCTTACCAATACCACAGTTCATAAGCACCGATTCTTCTTCTGTCCCCTTTATTCACTGCCCAACATTCACATGCATATGATGCAATTGAAAACACTTTGGCTTGGGTTAGGTACATTTTAATCTTGAAAGTGACACCCTTGGTTTTAGAACATTAAAGGAATTCTTGACAACAGATTTTTCCAGTGGGACATGCATAGTCAATCATAGGAGAGCAAGTGATTATGAGTGTTGAGTTTGAGGGTAAGATGAGGTTGAGAATGGGATACACTTCAACAAGGTGGGAGAGAAAGAACCAATTAGATAGAAGTGAGTGGAAGTGGCAGAGGACTGTGTCTATAGCTGACACTGGATGATGTAGCATCTCTGTGATCCTGGCCCTGCTCTTGGGTCCTGAGAGTTCCACAGGCATTTGCAGAGTTGAGCTTCTGCTGTCAAGTTTGGCTTATGTCTGATGAGAATACCTGATGAGTGTAGAAAGAGTCGTCTGTGCAGGCACATGGCCTCCCGCTACCTGGGTTGAATGCTCTGGGCTCTTTTCTCTATAAGTCAGGACCATGCCCTCTAAAAACCTGGCTAGATGGTGGGCTGAGCAGTATACATTTTTTATAGTCTTTCAGAATGCCATTTGGAAAGAGATATTTGATAATCATAAAACCACTTATCACTCCGAGACCAAGAATGCATTTTTGGGAGAATTTATCCTAAGCAAACAACCTACTGGAAGGAGAGGGCTCTGTGTATAAAGGTGTTTGTTGCTGTGTTTTATGTAATTGGGAGCAAGGGCAATTAAATTTTTACATTTGTTATCTGTGACTTTATTGCAACAAGCTTATGATGAAGTTTTTTTCACAGATCAGGAAGTAGAGTTTGGAGAGGTTAAATGACTTGACCCTAAGCTTAGTGTGACTGAGAAATGTAAAGAAGGCAAAGTTTAAACACAAATGTTTTAAAAAAATTAATTTTGAGAACTCATATAGCAAAACATAAGCAAACTTGACAGTTTCTACATGTGAAATTCAGTGACATTGACTACGTCCTTCAGTTTCCCAGCCATTCTCACCCAAGCTGTGTGATGCTCTTCTCCCATCAACACAACTCGGTTTTGTTTCTTAAGGGTAATTTTTAAATTGTTGTTGAGCATATACACAGTAAAATAGAGATACTTTCACCAGTTTTTACATTTACATTTAGTTGCATTTTTTGAGTAGTGTAGCCATTCTTACTCTCTGAGTTCATCCTTTCTCATTAACGTAAACTCACTGCCCTCTAAGATTTCTGTTTAATTTTTCCAATTCCTGTTGCCAGTTTGATTCCATACAGCTCAAGCTCAAGCTCGTTGCTCTCGAGTTGGAAGTGACTCACAGTTGACTCTTCAGTGAGTTTTCAGAGGCTGTAAATGGCGTTGGAGGAGATTGCACATCTTTCTTCAGCAAAGCAGCTGGTGGATTAGAACTACCTGCCTTTGGTTTGGGAGCTAAACTCCTTATTGAGTAGTCTACCTGAGCTCCCTTATTGCATATAAATAGTTCTTAAGAGAGCATAATATTCAAA